TCCTTCGGGGCCGGCTTCCCCTCGGCTGCTCCCTCCGTCTGCTCAGGCTCTGCCTTCGGAGCATCCGCCTTGGCCGCGTCTGTGTCTTTCTCGGCTTCCTTGTCTTCGGGCTTGTTGGCAGCATCCTGGGCATCCTTCTCAGCCTTCTCCTCCTTGCCCTCCTTCACCCCGGGGGTCTCCGCAGCCGCCTGGGTCTCATTCTCCTTCGGGGTCCCCTCCTCTTCCGTCCCCGCTCCTTCGGCCTTCTTGTCTTTGTCCTTGGCCTTCTCATCATTCACATTGTACCCCTTCTTCTTCTTGCTCAGCTTGCCTCCCATCTTGGAGTTCTGGAACACAACACAAAACAGAACAGAACGGTGTTACTTGTGGCTCTAGACTGAATATCTGTGCCCCCACCCGCCCCGTTTCCCCTTCAGAGGTTGAAACCCTAACCCTCAATGTGATGGCATTCGGAGCTGGCGCCTTGGGTAGGTGACTAGGCCATGGAGGCGGGGCCCTCATGAAGGGGAGGAGTGCTGGCACAGAAGACACCCCCAGGGCTCCATGCCCGTCCCCACGTGAGGACACGGGCAGGAGCCAGCCATCTACAATCAGGAAGCAGAGTCTGCCCACACCTTGATCTTGGGACTTCCCAGCCTCCAGAACTGTGAGAAATAAATTTCTATTGTTCAAAAGCCACTCGGTATATGGTGATTTGTTACAGCAGCCAGAACGGACAAAGAAGCTTTTCAAGTATGAAAACTAAAAGGCTTCACTTTACAAAGAGTCCAGAACACTACAGAACAGTACACTTTCAAATGATCGGCATGGTGGGGTTTTTACATGTATTTTGCTAAAATTATAAATAAAACAGTGAATGGTAAAAACATAATAAAAATAATAATAAAAAGAGCTCAGTTATTGAGTGTCTAGTCACAGCAAGTTGAAGAAATAAGCTGAGGTCAAATATTCAGTGATTAAAGACTAAGCCTGTCAGTGATAAAGAAGTGGAGCAGTATTTGTTTCTTATCTGTCCCCCATGGCCAACTCAAATACCCAATACTGAACATGTGTACAAAATAGCATTAGCAGCCACTTCAACCATAGCATAGCCAGTAAAAGACTTAGTAGTTTTAAAATGCTTTCCAGAGAAAGGGTACATTTCAACAAAGCACAGTTCAAAAATTTCAAGAAAATAATCTCAAACTACAAACTTCTTTCAAACGCCATTATTCATGTATGTATGTGTGTATATATATATACATATATATATATGCCTAAGCTACCGAATGACCGGTCAACATGACGTGCACTGACCACCAGGGAGCAGATGCTCAAAGCAGGAGCTGCCCACTGGTGGTCAGTGCACTCCCATAGCTAACCTCCCGTTGTCCCTCCCCCTGGCCAGCCACCACCCCCGCCTCCCCCCCCAATCGGCCCAGATCACTGGCCAGGCCGAGGGACCCCACCCATGCACAAATTCGTGCACTGGGCCTCTAGTGTTCATATAAGCACATACATCTTCAAAGAACAAAGTCAAGCAGGATTTGGTCTAGCTCATTAACTAGGACCAGCTAAAGGAAAACTATCCCCCAAGAAACAAAAAGTATAGTGTTCCCAGTTACATTTAGGTTGTTAGTTGTGTCAGATTTGTATTCATTGTTTTTCAAAGTGTTTTTTGGATTAAAAGAAATAGTCCCATAGCAATATAAAAGTGTCCTTCATTACCAATGTTCTGATTAGGGTTCAAACTAGATACAGAAGTTCAATGCTCATTAACAGCCTTGTTCACTCAAAGTTAAGTATCCAACTTCTTAGATATATAATGCAATATCCTCTTTCATCCCCACAAATAAGTCAGAGAGAGAGAGAGAGAGAGAGAGAGCTTTGACCTGGGCCCTGTCTGATTTGGTTCCAGGTCAGGGTCTACTCCTGACAAAATTATAAAGTACTCTTTGACCAGTCATTTTTTAAAAACCATCATTCATTTAAAAGAGGAAATTTGCTGTTTTTTCATTATACTCCTTGAAATTATAATTCATGACAGTTAAATAACCTACATTTATTCTAAAAGTCAGGTGTTGGGTAGGAGAGTGCTAACTGAAGAATTCTGACTTTAGTCAAGACTTGTCTCCCCACTCTATATGCTAATTTCCTGTCTGGAGAAACTTCAATAGTTGGGGGAGGGGGAAAAACAATAAACCAAAAGATGTCTAAAATACTAGTTTCTATTCCCAAGAAAGACCTTTATTATGGTATCAAAGAATTTCTCTTACATATCTTTTTTTTAAAAAAAAGGAGTGATTTTTGGTCATACCTGAGATATGCAGTGTGCTCTATTTGACTTAATCTTTAGCTATTTCTCCCTCAGAAGTGGGAAAATCAGATGTAAAAACAATACAATTAAATCTACCTTTATCCTATAAGCAATCACAAAGGCAATAAATCAAAATATAAAGAGATAAAATAAACTAGATCAGTATTTTTAAATTAGTTAGAACTCTTTTATTGAATTCTTAATTAGCCAATATGCACAAATGGTGTTATGTCAAAATAATTTCAGCTCTTATATGTCACAATACCTAAGATATAGAAACCCTGACAGGCCTGCCTTTAGTATGGCCTACCAATTCCATAATAGAAACCCATGCACCAACTTGGAGATCATAGAATAGCAGACAAAGTGTACATTGTGAATGTAACAGGAGTGCGGCGTTATGACACACACAGCATGAAATTCTATATAGCTATCCCAGAGGCTGAAAGTCATGCTGGTTTACAAACCTAAAATCTGTGTTACTAAAATTGGTTTTCTGAAACACGGTTAGGGCCATTTTCTATTCTTTGTTTTAAGCCCATCTGTGATTCCTTTCTGGGTAGGAAATGATTGTATAGAATACAGTTGTAAGTAAGAAAGTGTGTTTCCGTTCCTGTTTGCTTTTCAAACACAAAGTTAACCAACACTTCTACCTTTTGCTAGTTTTTTTGTATTATAGTGAGGTATCAGAGAAGGGACTTATAGAATTCACCAGAACCCTGGAAAGGCAAGATAGCTGGTTATTTCTCAAGACATTATGGGTGAAAACCTTGCCTACACCCAAAGGTAAATTAAAATTATAATTTCAAATTTATTAACTGTGTCATGGGTTTAGGCACAATCCTAATCCTAAACACAGTTATTGTATTTAATCTTCTCAACAGTACCATGGTTAGTAAATATCCCATCAGCATCCTCCTTTTACCCAAATGGAAATTCTAGCTGATTTCATGGAGCAGTTCAAGCAAAAGGCTGAGTCCAACAAAATTAGGTGAGGCAGGAAGGCACCATCTTGGAGGTCAAAGGGAACTCCACTAAGAAGCTTGCAAATGGGCAGAGTTCTCATCTCAGGAATGTTACCCACACTGGGTCACAGGGTTGGTACAGATCTGGGGTGACTCAGAACTCAAGATATTGACAAGATAATGATAAAATTCAGAGCTTCAGGTACTCTCTATCCCTAAACATTTCATCACCCATTTGCCAGTGCAGCTTTGTATCGTGATCCTTGAGCAATTACAGAGCATGATGGGCACATTTTAATTATTGTTCTCTTTTTATGACTTCTAATTTTGAAAGAAATCAGTTGGTGTAGAAAGTTGGAACTTCTAAGTTAAAAAAAAAGTAGCTAAAAAAAAAAAAGACACAACTAGTAATCCACCCTGGAAATCTTTTAAACCTAAATCTGAGCGACAGGGAAACAACAGTCTTTGCGTTTCTCCACATTTTGGTCATTCTCTAGCCACTGAGTGGTCCAGCACAAACACCCAGACCCACGCTGATGCACTGAGTTCTGTGTTGATACAATAACTAAAGTAGGACACATCCCCATTTTTACAGAGCTATTGGGATGTGACATTTTAGAAGATTTTTCGAGGAGTTTATAAGTTGGAAGAGAGCTTCAGGCCAGTGATAAGTTTTAAATGCCAACAGCTTAGCTTTGGGAATATCAACACAAGGTCATGGTGACTTTCAAGCACAGTAAGAACAAAGATTCATTACCCTCATATAAAGGGGAGAGAGAGAGCTTCTCATTTTGAATAAAGTCTCCCCACCTATTGCTTCTTCTGAAAATCTACTTCTCCTCTGGATACAATCTTTTTTTTTTTTTTACTTATAGAAACTGAAGCCAGTAGTCTATCCCACAAGCTTATTTTACACTCACAGAGGCACACAAGAGTGACATTATCCAGCAGAGTAGGATTGACACCTTGACCCCATTCTGCACCAAAGCTCAAGCACCTGTATTATGAATCAGGAAGCCCACCCGAATAATCTCCCTTTCTCCAGTGCTAAGAGAGGAGCCCAATTTGGCAGACGCCAATTGCTATGGTGAGTGGAGCCAGTGAGCTGAATTGGTCCTAAGTAGTCTCTTTAAAGGACAGACAGTTCTGCCCCTTCTAGGGACAGAGGTTCTCAAATCCTATGACTGCTACCAAGTGAAAACACATGGCTCACTCAGCCCCACTGCCTTTGGTTTCAGTCAAGAAAACTGACAGTATTTTAAGTTATAGGAAGGCACAGCCCTACATACCCAGATAGTGTCTAATCAATATAGAGGTTATTTTTATGGCTTTTCTTTGAAATGTGAGGTTTCTGGAAGCTATTATTTACTGTTTCCTTTCTTTAGCCCCTGACATATCACACTTACTAAATAGTCTAGTTGAGTGTAGGTGAGAGAGAAGAGGGGGACACGGTGGATCAAAAGGAGTTTGAGTAGGAGAAACAAGAGCATTGTCATCACCAATTTTAAGATTTCAGTCCTTTGAGGCAGGGCTAAGTAGTAGCATGCCATCAGGCATCCCAGAGATCTGGGACATCCGGATGGCTTTAAAGAGCCATTCTGCCTCTTGGTAGCAAGCAAAACTATTGGTAACTAACAGCCCACATACAGAATTTTAAATGTTTTGATATGTAAGCAATCACCACTTGTAATGTTAAATCTTCATTTTGATAGCACTTTGTTGGTTATATCCATTAGTTAGTGTTACCCAAGTCTTTGGATGAAAAATGCAAACCCCAGCTATAGCATTTTCCCCCTTCAGAAAAAATGCAGCATTGCACAATGACAGTTTGCAGGCATTAACTATTCCAAAACCACGAGGGCTTATACTCACTGTATTCTGCCTACAATTATTACGTACTCCATGACACCTCTCCATTCTATTACAGTCAGTAAGCAATAACAAGATTTTGTGACAATGAAAATTATTGGTGTGCATTAACTGGTATATAAAACAAAACAAGAAAATGACTGATACAGAATTTCTCCTATGATCCCATAGTTACTATGTGGCTTCACGTGCTATTTTTATGTCTTCTGCCTCTCACT